ACTGAGGGCTTTTGAGTGAGGAATGAATAAGCAAACAAATGAAAGAAGGCAGGGAAGGAGGGAACACACTTGACAGATGACAAACTGCTTCTACACCAGGAGCCCCAGGACCCCCGAGGACGAAGGTGAGTGGGGAGGAGAGTGGGTCCGGGGAGAGGCCCTCACCCGAGGTCACACAGCTCTGGGCTCCCGGCCGGGCGCTCTCTCCACGGTGTAGGGGAGACAGGGAGGGTGACACCAGCTGCCAGTGAGGTGGGAGGGGTGAGCCCAGGAGCCACCTGTTTAGACAGGAAGAGGTGGAAGAGCACAGCCCAGATTTCCCAGTGGCCCAGACACAGGGACCAGGCTCAGGGTAGGGTGGGCGGAGGTTAGAAGGAGGACTTCCCAACTGTCAAGAGCCCTCAGAAGGCCCTCAATGTCCTGATCAGGTGGCCCAAGGCCCCGTCTGGCACAGCAGGACTGAGAGGTAGCCCGCCAGAGGCAGGGGGATGGACTAAATGACCAGAGCAGGGGCAGGAGGGTGACGGGAGAGGGGTCTTCTTGCTGGTGACAGCCCCGTTTCTCCTCCCCATGGTTAGGGCTTGCCAGGTTGTCTCCCCTCTTACTCCCCAGCCTCCAGGCAGCCCCACTCCCAGGAATTAGCACATTCCCCCCCCTCTCCCTGGCAGCCCGGCCCACAGGCTCCTCCGACCATCATCAAAGACGCGGGGCTCAGCTGCCTGCTGGCCTTCCGGACCCTTGTTCTGAACCAGGGCACCCGAGCTACCCCAGGTGGTCCCCTGCCAGTGCCATCATCAGCCCCGGTGCTGCCGCTCGGCACTTCACAGTTTGCCTGGTCAGTGCTTGCCCTAGAATTCTCACTGGACCCCCTGACATTCCCACATTCCCAACTAGGGGTCGCTGAGGCTTCCATTTTGCAGATGAGCAAACAGAGCCTCAGCAAAGACAAAGGCCTCTCAGCCAAGAAGCCAGGAGCAGGCTATCATTCACGCTCAACCAGGCCACAGTCCCTAGAGTCACCTCTGAGTCCTTCCAACACCAACCCCAAAGCAGCCACCCCTCCACTCGGACCCTCCTCTCCAGGCCCCACCAGCACCCTGGGCCACCATCATCCCTTGCCACCATCCCACAGGTCCGCTCTCCGGATGGTCTTCAGGCTGCCATCTCTCCAAGGAAGCCAGAGTGACCTTTCCCTGCACGTGCCTGGTACACGGTGCGCATTCGGTAAAGGCTTGCCGAATGATCTCATGAGCGGGTGAGCGCAGGATGGATGAATGAAAGCCCGTTCACTCCCTCAGCAAACACACTGAACCCTCACAACAAACAGCACAAGGCTTGGAACCGCAGGGCTATGATGAGATGGTGGGCTCTGCCCTCTTCCTGCCCAGTGAGAACCCACGTCAGAGGGTCCACAAGGCGGGGGTCTCAGCCAGGCGGACTTCGAAGCATGAGCACCCACAGACACCAGCCCTAGCAGCAGAAGGCAGAGCCAGGCAGGAGGCCAGAAGCAAGCAGAAGTGGGACAGGGGGGCAGATGAGAACCAGGACCACAGCCATGAAGGCACAGAGTGAGCCTGCCCATAAGGAGCGCAGCGCCCAGTCCCTGCGGACACCACTGAGATGCTTCCTGACAAGGGCAGCAGGGGAATGGGCGCCCCAGGCAGCCCCTTCCTGATCTCACTGCCCAGCTCTCCCCATCCTACAGACAGGGAGACTGAGGGCAAGGAGGGGAAGTGACTTGTCCAAGGTCACTGGCAACTGGCGTCTCCTGCCTCCCAGCTCAGGCTGGCACCCTCCCCCTGCCCAGCAGAGAGGCAGCCTTCACAGCCGACTGGCTTCCCACCATGCATGGCTGGTTCGCACCGCAGCAGAAGCGCTGGCTCAGCGCTGGCTGGAGCGGGGGAGGCAGCAGCCAGGAGCATGCCGGGAGGGAAGGGGGCTGCAAAGTCCTCAAGGGGGTGGCCTCTGGCAGGATGCAGTGAGGTGCCTGCTGAACGTAGATGCTGGAACCCAGGAAGACCTTTATCCAGTCACCTGGAACTGAGAAGCAAACCTCCCTGCTCTGGTGGAGTGTGGAGAGCTGGTGTCTCCAGGCTCCGCAGGTGGTAGCGGTGTCCTGGATAAAAGCTAAGCCTGGGGATTCAGAGAAATTGAGGTTTTCATGCCAGCTTTACCATATCCTGGCTGCACAACCTGGAAAAAAGTTACTCAACCTCTCTGAGCCTCACTTTCCTCCTGCATAAAATGGGGCTCTGACAGCACCTACCTCTTGGGGTGGTTATAAGGGTTAAAAGGTGATAATGCAGGTAAAGCATTCTGGGCACAGTAAGTGCCAGCTCTTGCTGTTATCAGCCCTGAGCCCTCTTCTGTGCTGGGCACACAGCTGGGTGCTTTGCAGGAATCATCTCTAATCATCTTTAATTATCCCATTGTAGAGATGAGAAAACTAAGGCTCAGGGAAGGGAAACCAGAGCGAGTACAACCCACCACTGGCCCTTCTCCCACATGCAGCTGGTTACGCTCCTAAGAAAGGCTCTCAAAGTCTAATCTAGGATGGAAAATAGGTTTCCACCTAATTAGTCATGCTGCCAGAATGCCCTGCTGGAGGGCGCTGTGATCGGTTAGCGATGACTGCACAGAGGAGCGCGTGGCTACTAGCAGCATAACTGGCACAAATTTACCTAAATAACAGAGATTGAATCTGATTTTCCCCAGAAACAATGTCCTCTGAAGACATTATGTTCTACCTAAAAGACTTGATGCCCAATGTCTTATCGAATCTACCATGTGCAGGGTTTCATCAGCTGTATGTGAGGGCCCTGTTCACCTTTCGGACTTCGGGTAGTAAGAGTGATGATCACGGTAGCGAGGGTACAGCTCAGGGGTGGAGCACATGCTTAGCATGCGCGAGGCCCTGGGTTCAGTCCCCAGTACCTCCATTAAAATAAATAAGCAAATAAATAAGCCTAATTACCTCTCCCCCTAAAACAAAACAAAAATAAATATTTTTTTAAAGTGATAACCACACATATGCAGTTTCTCTAATCTACAAAGATCCATTTTCACGTGTGTATTATGCACTGCTGTGGTCTTCAGTGCAATCCTGTGAAATGGGTAACATCATCCTCATGTGACAGGTGGCAAAACTGGGACTCAGAGAGGTTGAGAAACTGGCTTATGGTCACACAGCAAATAAAAGGCAGAACCAGCCCGTAGATCTGTCTCCCTCAGGTCCCCAGTGCTTTCTATACATCACCTACTCATGAGTCAAACAGCACAACTGATCCCTTGACGTTTCAGACCCAGAGTCCCCCCAGCGGAAAGCCCGCTGCCAGGGCACGCTCACAGCCTGGGCCAGGCAGGGAGTGCTGCTGACATGTGGGTGTGCCCACTATTCCCAGCCTGGCTCACCAGCTCAGGGACAGTCCCAGCAGCCCTCTGGCTCTCCAGTGAGTCAGGCGGTGACTCAGGGCCTACCTCTGTGCTGGGTGAGCAACTGAGTCAGGGAGCACCAAGCTTCAAAGGGCAGCTGGCTCTGAGCCAGGGCCCCTCCGCAGCAGGGACACTCGTGCTCACGACATCTGTCTGGGACAGAGCTCCCACACAGCCCTGCCCCCCTGCCCCTCCCCGTCACCCCGGGCCTGCTGGCCTGACCCTGAAGCCGACATGTCCACCGTGCCTTTGGGGTCTTGAGGGGGAGCAAAATCCTGCAACATCTGCAAATGTGAAGGGTCATTTTTGGCTGTCACAGTGACTGAGGGCCACTACCTACCAATATTTAGGCACCAAACATCCTGTAATGTGCCAGATAGCACAGACCACAAAACAACGTTACACTCAAAGTGCCAACCGTGCCCCCACTGTGGAGCCCCAGGTTAAACACTGCCCCCTCCCAGGGAGGAGTCGGGGGAGGGAGGTTTCTGGCCAGGGAAGAATCCTGGAGCCCCAGCACCTGATCAAAGGCAGCCCCCCACACCCTAAAGCCCCGCCTGCATATCCCATGAATGAGCCTCTGCTCCAGTCATTATTGGAGACCCAGCAAAGACACTGCTGATATGCCCCCAGGGAACGCTAAGGGAGCATCCATGGTGCGCCAGCCACTGTGCTGGGTGCTGGGGTCCCACAGTGAGCAAGACAGGCTCAGTCTGTGTCCTGGTCACCTGACAGCACCCTGAAGGAGGGAAGTGTTAGATTCAGAATCCCACACTAGATAGTGACAACAAATGGAGAGGCTGAGGAGGAATCACAGAGGGCTGTCCTGAGGAGGTGACACTTAAGATGTGACTTGAAGGATGCAACAAAGGATGCGGCCAGGAAAGGGAAAGCATTTCAAAGGGAAGAGCAACTGAGAAGGCCCTGAGGCCTGGAAGAGCACAGGGGAAGCAGAGCAAGAGAAATAGAGGCAGGATCTCGGGGCAATGGGAAATGAAGGGGCTTGAGCAGGGGGTGGCGGAAGCCAACCCCAGGCAGCCATGGAGGCAGGAAGATCTGTGAATCTGTGAGGAGGCTGCTCCCTGCCGCCTTCCAGCCCCCGTCGGAGGCACAACAGAGGGAGTAAGAGGTGGGTGGAACCTCGCCTTGCAGGCTGGGGTCAGCTCCCTTCCCCCGGGTCTGTGCCCACAAGTCCCCCATCAGGCTCTCATCACCCCTGTGGTCACCATCAGTCACTACGAGCTTGTCCACAGGCCAGGGTCTGACTTAACTCTGCACCTGCAGTCCGGGCACAGACCTGGGGCTCACACTTGAGGACTTCCTGAACCAGCCAGGCGCTGCATGACCCCCACAGTCATCAGCAACTTCCAGAACATTCACATCAGCAGGACACCAGGTCCTCAGCAGTCCGAGCCCCGTGGCCGGAGGTCTCCCCGGACCCCCTGCCTGAGCTGGCTCACGGCCACCAGGCCTCGGGCCTCCTGGCCAGAGGAAGGTGTGGCAGACAAGGCCCCAGGGAACAGCGGCCCTGGGCAGGGCCCAGCCCCCGCAGGCCGCACAAAGGATATGGGTTACACACCATCTTGATGCACCAGTTCCGCGGGCTGGTGGTCTGTCGCAGGCAGAAGAAGGCAACAGGCGCCAGGTCCGGGTGCGGGACGTCCGGACCGGCTCCATCCAGGGGCTCCTCCGGGCCGGGAGGGGAAGGAGCGGGGCTGCGGGGCCCTGGCTGCTCCGTGACTCCTGGCTCAGCGGCCGGGGCTGCAGCAGGCGAGGATGGCGGCGGGGAGCTCTCGGCCATGTCGTCTGCGCTAAGCAGGGAGCCCTGCGGAAGAAAAAGAGGCAGCACTTGGCGGGGGCAGGCCTGGCATCCAGGCCCCGATCCGCCTCCCCGGTAAGGCAGCACGGCTCAGACAGCCCAGCTCCAGCCCCCCGGCCCCTCGCCCTCACTCTGGCCGAGATGACTAGGAAAGAGGCGATGCAACCGAGCCGGAACCCACTTCCAGGTTGGTGGTCTTGGGGCAAGTCTGGTAACCTTGCTGAGCCTCAGTTTGGAGAGATGAAAGGGGGGAGAATAAAACCTTCTTAGAATGTAGCTGTGATAGTAATTGTTGTTGTTACTTTTTGATTTTTAATGAGACTAGAGTTGACTGTTTACTGTGTGAAGGTAAAGAAAATTTGCAGGAAAAACCTGAAAGTTATTGTAACAGACATTACTGCCAGGATGACATGTGTTACAAAGGAGAGACTGAGGTACTCTGGGACCAGATACCAGGGGACCTGGGCAAGCCAGGAGGGAATCAGGGCAGGCTTCCCTGAGGAAGTGAGACCTAAGCCAAGGCCTACAGTTGAACCCAGGGAACCCCCCCCACCCGACTCACTGCTTCACAAAGCTGAGAACCCAGAGACCTAACACACAGCAATCTTTTTGCTTTACCATTGGAGAAACGGATGGCTCAGAGAAGGGACAGGACGGACACACAGCCAGGGAACAGCAGAGACAGAACTCCATCGGGGCTGGCTTCCTGGGTGTGTCGCCTGGGCAACCGCCCACGGCCCTGTACTTAGAAGGGCCCTGTGCTTGGTTTAGTGCTCTGCTGTCACCAACTTGAAATTCTTAGTACTTTTTGATCAAGAGGCCCACATTCTCACTTTGCACTGGGCCCTGCAAATCACGTAGCTGGTCCTGAGTTCAACTCAGAGATACTTCCACATCCTCGTCTCATCTAATGCTCACTACAACCCCAGAAACAACATTATTATGCCCATTTAGCAGATGGGGAAACTGAGAAGAGAGGAGGCTGCCAAGGCTACACACTGAACTAGGGCAAGTCTAGGGCCAGAAGCCCGCGCCAGCCATTCTGACTCGGGGATGACTGACTGTGGTCGCTCAACCCCCTCCACAGCCAGCCCTACTCCTCAGGGCCTGCCCCTCACCACCTCACCCAAGAGGCTACCAATCCCTGCACCCTCACCCACCGGGGTCTCCTGGGCCCTGGCACCCCAGTAGTGCCAGGCTGGGCAGTGGGAGTCAGAGATGAGGCCCAAATCCCTGGCACCCACCCGGCTGCTGCCCGTGACTTCTGAGCTATGGGCTGAGCCGCCTGGAGCTGATACGTTTGGACACTTCTCTGGCTCCTGGAGGCAACAGGCGGGAGCTGGCGCCTCCTGCCACTTCGCCCGGCTGGTCAGCGAGGCAGAGTTTTCTCTTGAGCTCAGGGCTTTGCGCTCGGTTCCAGAAAAACAGCCATGGGCCTTACATAAGCTCCCAGGCACCTCGAACCGCCACGTGTTAACCACTGGGCGGAAAAACATCCTCCCCGAGGTGGCTGCAGGTCTGCTCACCACCGTGCCAGCCTCAGAGTCTGCCACTCCCTGCCCTGGCCCCTCACTCCTGCCAAACTAGACCTCTTCAGGTCGCAGAATGCCAGCTGCCTCCTCCAGGCCTCTGCTTATACTGTCTCCTCTCCCTGGAACACGCTCCCCACAACTCCCATCCCCCGTTCTCCCAGGCCCTGACAATTCATTAATCTGGCCAACAATGTGGCTCATTTCCTGAGCACCTACTATGTGCAGGCACTGTGCACGATCTGGGGTTCTTCTGGTGATTAATAAGACTTGGCACCAGCCCTCATTCAGCCGACACTCCAGAAAAGGAGGGAGGCACATGGGTCAATTAATTTTTCTCTCTGGATTTCCACAGCTTTTAACATCACCAAGCATACTGTAGAATTTATGTATTTATATATTTATGATTTAGTGTCTGTCTCCTGACCTAAAAGAAGGCTGTAAGAGAGCAGGGACTGTGGTCTGTCTCATTCACTGCTATGTCCCCCAGCACCTGGAACAGTGCCTGGAACACACCAGGTGCTCAATAAATATTTGTTGAATAAATAAAAAGTGTTGGGAAGTAAATAAACAAGGGAGAAAGGTGGGAGTGGAGAGAACCGACCTTGCCCTCTCTAAAGAAAGACATTTAAGATAAAAACGATGAGAATCTCCAGGTACCAGGAACAGCATGTGCAAACACTCGGTACATGTAAGGAACAGAAATGAGGCCAGTGTGGCTGCACAGGGGGCAAAATTGGAGAGTTTGGCAGGGCCTGTCGTTAGCCCAAGGAAGGAGCTCGGGTTTTATTCCAGGTGCAACAGGAAGCCACAGAAGGGTTTTGATGCAGGGAGTGGTGTGTTCTGGTCTGTGTTTCTAAGCCATCCCTCTATAAGCTGAAGGGGGAGTGGGTGGAGGGACAGGCGTGGAGCACGGAGGGCCAGAGGGAGACCAGGAAGATGGGCTGGGCTGGCCTGGGATGCTGGTGGAGGTGAAAAAGAAAGGAGTGGATTTGGATATATTTTAGAGGCAAGAGCCTGGCCTTGCATCGGCCCTGATGCCACCCCGCCCAACACGGCCAAAACTGCAACTGCATGGGTGGACAGTGCTGCCAAGGCCTCGGGGACCACACACAGCCACCTCCTCTCCTCGCGCTCAGCTCCGTCTGCTTTGTGTTGACTTTCCCTTCGCCTCACTTGGCCCTGTTTAATGCTGTCGCACTGTGCTGCTCTCCTTTGTTCTCACACCTTTCCCCCACTCTGTGGGGCTCTTAGAGACCATGACTGGCAAGGCCACCAGCTCACTCCCCAGTGCCCACCCAGACCACCTCCCTCTGACCTGCTCCCCATCCCCATCCCCAATTCCCTCTGCTCTGTGCCTGCAGCCCACTTCCTGTCCACCCATGGCTGAAAGCTCTTGGAGAGAAGGCAACTGGGCCCCCTGGGCTCCAACTTGTCTGCAGATGGAGCCTCAGAGAGACAAGAGGACTTGCTTTAGGTGGCAGCATTGGTGGATTCAAACTCAGGTTCATCTGGCGTCAGAGTCTGAGCTGCCCCCACAGCTGGAGCCTCCTCCCTCCAGGCGCTCCGAGGGTGGCCCCCCAGGCGGGGATGCCGTAACTGGACTGGCCTCCACGAACAGGGACAGGAGCAGGACCCCACTGCGTCTAGAACATACCCCCCAGTCCTGACTCCACTGCCCCCTTGAAACCTCGGTTCTCTGTAAAGCTCAGCCCTCCTCCTACCTGTCTCTGCAAGCCCCTGTGAAGAGGCAATGTGATGTGGATGGAAGGGCTCCCTAGGACCCATGAAAGTGAATGTCCAAGCATGCATGGGGCCGGTTGCGCCATCCCCAGGGGCTGCCACCCCAGCCCTATTTGCTATCATCACCGACCACCACCATCACCAACAACCGACACCAACACCATCATGACCACCACCGCCATCACCATCACCACCATCAGCACAGCATTACAGAGGCTCTGACTGAGTCTGACCCTGTGCCAGTCAGTGTTTATGTTGACTGCCGCACAGTCCCATGATCTACAGTCCATGCTCTTTCCTACTTTGTGGAGGAGGAGACTGAGGACAGGGAAGTCCAGCAGTGCCCAAGGTCGCCCAACTAGGAGAGGGCAGAGTAAAGGTCCCAGTCCAGGTCAGCCACCCCTGAGCCCAAGCACTGAACCATCTCAGGCACCACCCTGGGACAGGGGAAGGTGCCCTGGAACAAGTCCTTCCCTCCCAGCCGAGTCAGCAGGCAGTGCAGATAGAGCCACTGGTCCAGCCAAGACCCCCCCAGTATGGGCAGAAATCCTCCAAGTCTTCCCAAGTCTATGGGGAAACCTGCCGCCTGGCGTCTCCCAGCTGGCACTCCACAGCCTTCACAGTGTGCTGTTGGGGAGCCTTGTGTCTGCAGAGCTCGGAGTCCTGGTGGAGAAAGACCTGAGGTCTGGCCTGGTCACTCCAGGCCGTGTGTGTGTGTGTGTGTGTGTGTGGGAACATGGGCAAGCAACTTGTTTATCCCTGTGTCAACAACCACACATCAGCTAATGTCATCGCTTGAAGAACAAACAACAAACTCATTCTGGGAATTCTAGAATCCAGGAATCTCAGAATCAGAATACTTTAGAATCGCCCAGCCTGTTAGAGGCCCAAGATATTAATGACAGGTCCCTTAGACTCTAGAGTGTGTGTTTCAGGGCACTGGCACTGTAAGCCGAGACCTGTGTCGGAGTCCGGCTCTGACACCAACCCGCCTTAGCAACACGACTCAGCCTGGCAGGGACCTTGGATACCCTGTCGATAAAATGAGGGTGACGGCTGCTCTGCAGCAAGGCTGCTGGGAAGATGAACTGGGGTAACACTCACAAGCCCCTGACCACACCATCAGACCCGGGAACAGCGCACAATAAGCCCGCGATGGTCTCCCATGCTTGTCAGTGCCATCAGCTACGGAATTCCAGAACCCTGAAACTTAGGTGGCCCAGAAACACAGTGTCTGATTTTAGACTCTATGGGCTCCAGATCTTTGCAAAGGGAAAAGAATGGGACCTCTGAAGTAGCCTAATTCATCACCACACGCATTCACCAGCACAAACATCACAGCTGCACACACGCACACTCACAAACACAATCACACACAGAGACACATACGCACAATCAGACATTTACATAATATCCAGTAGCAGAGAACTACATCTCACACACTGTCACACTCACAGATATACACAAACCCACACGCAGACACACAATGACACACAAAGACGCATACAACATTTACTCACACAGACATGCACTCACACACTTCACACACTCATTATCACACACACACAACACCCACTCACACACACACACACACATACACACATACACCCACCAATACAGAGCCTGCATCTGGTGGCCTGTAGAAAAATCTTGATGAGGCTGCCGGAAACCTGTCTCCCAGAATCTTCCAGCCGGCATCTCAGAGCCCCTGGAACTCTCTGTCGCTCCCTCTTCCGCATGACAGCCCTGCAGATGTGTGACAGTGGCCCGCCCACCCCCAAGCCTATCTGCCCCAGGCCTCTTGTCAACAGCTCCCTCATCTATTCCTTTGGTGAGGATTTCCAGATCATCTGTTCCTTGGGACCTCTCCCCAATCACACTCGAGTTTTTCTACTTCCCTCTGCAAGGGCTGGATGAGGTTTGCACCAAGTCACTCAGAGTAGAGCAGACAGGTCCCTGCCTGATTCTGCAGGGGCAGAGAGAGAACTCTGTTGATGCAGCCTAGGAGCCCCAGAGCCTAGCTGGCAACCCAGTCACTGTAGCAACTATGGGGCATGTGGTCCACTGGTCTCCTCAGATCATCTTCGGAGGAGTTGCAGTCAAGTCAAGGTTCCTCTAGCCTAAAGAGGAATGGCTAAAATCTGGCCTCTAAGTGAAGGACTTGACACAAAACTTGCTCTGGTTTGACCAGTCAAGCCTGCCCACCTATTGCAGTCACCTTGGTTCTGTCACCAAAATCAACAGCTAGCCCTCCCAGCTTTGCAGTGTGCAACGTACTGGATCAGCAACCCCTCTGATGACGGTGAACAAGAATCATAGCCAACATTATTTGTTGAGCACTTACTACGTGCTGGGCACCTCATCCCACCCAATGAAGTAAGCACTTTTGCTCTCTCCAACGTAAAGGTGAAGAAACTGAGGCACAGAGAGGTTAAGGGATTTTCCCCAGGCCAAGAGCTACTCAGTCAAAGAGCCGGGATTTGGATCTGGGAGGTCCAAATCCAGGTCACCAGTTAAAGGGCTGCCCAGGCTGGGCTGTCGTCAGAGGGTTGCAGCCCACTCTCCACCCCCAGTACCTGTCCTGTCATCACGAGGCATTGCCATTTGCTTGTCAGCTCTCGGCCTTATGACAAGTACCAGCAAGTGAGGTTGTGTATTTGAGCGCTTCCCAGCAGGTGACTCTGCTGATCATCTTTCACTCACTCTGCAGTAATTAGGGCCTTGGGTCCTCAGCTAACAAATCAGGATGAATGTGGCCCCTGATGGAAGGAAGACACTCTGGCAGAAAGAGCACTGGCTCCGGAGTCTCGGGGCCCGGATTCAAGTCCCAACTCCTCCCTCTCTGCATCGCATCCTCTCCCCAAGCCTCATTTCCTCTTGTATCAAATGCAGAACACGCTGCTTTCTCTGCTTCACAAAAGGGAAGGCAAATGGGGAAAACGATTGGGAAAGAACCTTAATGGAAGAAAAACAGCCTCACTGCACCAGGCCCCATGTCAGGCACTGTGCAGACATTTCTAAGTCTCACAAAAATCCTGTAAGGTGGAAGTTATTATCCCAGTTTTACGAGAAGCTGCTGCTCCCGTGATGCTAAGTGCCTTGCCCCTCAGGGCCATGCCTGTCATCCTGGGTGGCTCATGTTCTCCCGGCCGGGACGAAAGCTGGGTGACCCCCGGGAAGAGGGCTGAGTCCTGGACCAACAGCAAGTGGAACGCAGTCCTGGCAGCTCCTCAGGGCCGGTGGTCAGAGGTAAGAAAAGGGAAAACCCTGATGCCCTTCTCAAAAAGCATCGTCAGGATGCAGGAAAGGGGGAGCTGGCAGCGGGAGGGCCTCCCAGACAAAGGGAGAAGGTCTGCAAGGCAGGGCCAGGTCAGTGCTGACCTCAGCCCCGAAAGACGGTGATCTCCACCCTGGAGAAACCATTTCCCTCTCATCCTCTCCTGCTCAAGGAGCCCCAGGAGCCCAGCACTTGCTCCAAGGGCATCCAAACACCTAGTGCTTTCAGAGCCTTCCATGATCTGTACCCCCTCCCCCCTGTCAACATAGCCCTGGTTCTCCTTTCTGAGAGCACACAAGGAAATCAGGCCTTATGGCTGTGTGCCCACCTGGCACCTGGCATGGGGGATGCCCCAGGCCCCTCCCAGGGGCACAGAAGCTCCAAGAAGGCAGGCTTTGTCTGTTCCCTTCTCTTCATGGCTATGTTCCCTAGTGACCAGAACGGGGCTTGGCACATAATAGGTGCTTAATAAATATAGGAGAGAAAGAGAGAGAAGGAAATCAGATCTGTTTTCTTCCCTCCTTAGATGGCAGCCATGAGGGGGAGAGATTCGGCCCACACCTTCCTGGATATCAGGATCCACAGACCCACGAACCTACAGACCCAAGGATCCTGCATCCACAAACTCACAGGCTCACAGACACCTACAGATCCGCAGATCCACGCACCCATGGACCTACAGACTCAAAGACCCACACTCACACGTTCGCAGAGACCCGCAGACCACGGATGACGGAGCATGGACTCACAGACCATGCTCCTGGCTCCCTGGGCTATCTGAGAGCCCCCAGCCCAGCGGGAGGACTCCTAGAAGCACAGGGGTTGAGGACACAAGGCAAGAGCACATCTTGGTAACGTGCGGGAAGAAAACATTCTGCAGAAAAGAACAAGAGGGAAGGAAGGGGTCAGAAAGGAGCAAGAGGGAAGGAGGACAAGAAAGGAAGCTGGGAGCCAGGAGAGAAGAGGAGGTGGAGGAGAGGGGAGGAGGGTGTTGCTCCCTCTGCAGCCCACGGGGTCTCCCTGCAGCCCCCACCCAGCCCACCAGCCTCTCTTTCCAGCCGTAGTTTCCGAGCACCCTGAACCGGAGCTGGGCACCCAGAGAACAGAGCAGCTGAGGGGGAGACAGCCGCAAATCAAGGAGCCCCACAAGAACCTGTTTTGTTACCTTGGAAAGCGTTCAGAAGCTGCTGGGGGTGGGAGCCTCTCGAGGGTGGGGGAGGGACAGAGCGATGCCCACAAACAGACTTTCCTGGGTGGGGGTGCTGAGGCCCTGGGGAGCCCCACTAGGGGCACAGGGTGAGGGTGGTAGAGAGAGCGGTGGAGGGGGACAACAGGAGGAGAGTCGGAGGCGACCCCCTGGCGGGTTCAGGATGTGGCTCTGGGTCCAGGACCACAGGGAGGCTGCAGTCAAGCCAGTCTCTGCAACTGCTTCCAGCTTGGCTGCGAGCTCACGAGGAGCAAGCTGTCTGTCCGGAGCCAACGACAGAGAGTGGGAGAGGAGGGCTTCTCTGCTCCCACCTCCCCACCCAAGGTCAAGGGGAGTCAGGGCACAGGGACTTGGAAACTGCTGCTTGGTGCCCCCTGGTGGGCCTAGGAGATGCCCTCTCAGAAGCGCCTGGAATGGGGTGGGGGAAGGGGGTGGAGAACCTTGGTCAAAGAAACTGGGAGGGACCTTCAGGCAGGCTGGTAGCCCCTCCCCCAAGCTATCCCTCAGGTGCTCCAGAGACAGGCCTGGGCAGCTCTGAGCAGCCAGGAAGGGAGTGCAGCAGTCATGGCGTGGTGACCCGGCCCGGGGTGCGTGTTGGGAGGGAGGGTGTTTAGTGTCAGCCAGCTCAGCAACACCCCCATATGTTCTCCTCTTTCCCTCTTCCTCTCCAAGACTGCAGCCCCAGAATCAGTCCTGCTCAGTGCCACCTGCCCTGTCACCCACTGGATCCCCTGCCTCTGGTCTCAGCATGGACGGTAGAGGTGGGAAGGAGACAGGGAGGTCTCCAGACTTCCTGCCCAGTCCCCATCCCAGGCCCAGGTACTGGAGCCTGAACAGAAAGTTTGTTCTAAAGGGTGGACAAGTTTCCAAAGCCAGTCCTTTGGGCTGAGGGGTGACATGGATCCAAGAGGGGCATGGGCCAGGCCTGAGGGTTGAGACTGTGGGGAAGCAGGGCGGAACTCCTCAGCCAGCCCCTTTCCCACGGGGCCTAGACCACGGACCCACGGCTCCATCGGCACAGCATCCTAGCCCCAGACAGTGCCGCTATCTGCTGGGTAAATCCCCCAGGCAGTGAGAGACAGCAGGACAGACCGGCTCCCTGCGCAGGGCAACCTGAGCACCCCAGCCCTCAGGACACTCCTCACGTGGCCTGTCAGACCCCATCACACTGCACGGCACAGACGCAAGCAAGCTTCCTCTCTCTTTCACACACACACACACACACACACACACACTAATAGGGACACACACGCACACACCTGGCCCCAAAACACAGACTCCCACGGCTGGAATACAGCTCAGGGTTCTCCCCAGATGCCAATCTCATCCAACGCTCAGGAGCCCCCAGGACCCTGAAGGGAAAGAAAGACAGAAGCAGAGCAGCTGACTGCCGCCTCAGCCTGGGCCCATCCAAGCGCCCCCTCCCCCAGGCACCATGACCTCCCCCGAGAGGCCTTCTCACCCCCTGCCAAGGCCTCTTGCCCCCTACATCCCACCACACACCACCCAGCGTACAATTAAAACCCAGTCACCATAAATACTCATTATATAACCAGCCCCAACGTGCTGAGGATTCCTTTTACCCCCGAGAGTCCCAGCTCCGACCCCGCCTGGCTTCACACAGGGAGGCCTTGGGGACCCCCTGGGTGCTGACCAGGGAGGGGGCCGGCTCCCACCACGGCCTCGAGGAAAGTTAAACGCTGCCTGGGATTCCCCCATTCAGTCTCCCTGCTGCCGCTGTCCCTCCGCCAACACCCCCAGCTCAGCCCCCTGGACACTGACACCAGCTCTGGTCCCGCTGGCCGCACAGCCGCAGCAGCGGAGGGGCAGCGGGACAGACAGACAGCCTGGGCCCCCCGCCGGCAGCCTGACTTGTTGAATAAATTTCTGCAGCGCTGGCTCAGCCGGCTTCAGCATTGGCACCGAGAGAACTTTCGTGGCCTTGGAGAAGGGACCGGTCAAAGTTTCCCGTCCTTCCTCCCAAGGCACCTAGCCCGAAGGCATGGGATGGGGGGCCGACCTGATGGGCACGAGCGGGTGGGGGACCTGTCCCCAGAAATAAATAAATAAACGCCTCAATAAAGAAAGAATCCGACTCGCCAAGAAATTGGCATCGAAGCGGAGCCCTCCTTCCTTCCCTTCCCCCACCCACCCCACCTACCTTGGCATGGAC